GGCTGACGCTTTGGCGGATTTCGCTTCCTTCAGATCCTGGAAAGGCCAAGTTGACCACACTCTACCCGGCCAAACACCTCCACAACCAAACAGAGAAAACGCTAAACGGAGATTTCAATCACACTGAACACAGAGTAGCTTCTTTGCACACTCACCGCTTTCTATGAGTCTGATTCCAATGAGTATTTCACGTGGAGACCAACCGCACAGAGTTCATATGGGAGCGTAATATGCCTTTCCCTCAATAAAATATGTGTCCTAAATATTGGGTGAGATCACATGTCACAACAAAGCACTTCTCTCTATTGCTCATTTTTGGATTATTGGAATTTATCCAGAATTTCTCCAGAGTTTTCTAGCAGAACTTTCCTATTCCTGTGTCAGGATGGTAACTTCTACCTCAAAATCTTCTCTGTTATGTCTCTTAAGTCCTATGCGCGCCTAGTAATATATTTGGTCTATCCTTCACTTTATGACGACTTTTTTCATAAATTAACTGAAAATTAACAACCTTGCCGCAAAACGAATCCAGTCATTGCTTAGCGTTCTCTTCGCTCGTAATTGAGTTCTTCCATGAGTGCATCTTGACCAGCGTTTCACCTCGTCGCCATTGTGGTGTTGGTAGTAGTGACTGGTCAAATTGCCTCCGAACACAACCAGTTCTCGTAGCGGCTCGGCGTCTCTCTCTTATTTTTGCTAAGCTTGGCCGCTGAACTGACTGGAACGAACCATCAACCAAATCCTTCGATTGTTGTGCAGCATATTTCTTGTCGTACAATAAGTAACAACCTCTAGAAGTTTTCCTTATTTCTGCTACTTTATTCCTCAACCCCATTCTTTATCTCCTTTCATTTCCCATAACTTTTCTCTCGCTACCACTATAGAAAGAAAAGTAATGTTTTGTAGGTTAACAGATTCCTACTGGCATTATTTCTTAATTATCCAATGTCCATAACCTCTTTCGTAACGAAGCTGGTTTTTCGATAACTGGCGATAATTTCTCGATCACTGGAGTACTTTAGGAGTTCAGAACTTTACAGGCGTCTAGATGAGACTTTGCCCTATCGCACAATATCATATGTAATTTTATGGTGTCCTTTCAAACCTAGATATGTTTGGAATTGATGCTTTCAGAAAGCTGATTACAGACTTATAGTTTCTCAAGTTTCCCACGGATGAGCGCTAGTTGAAAACATGAACAATATGTTAAGGAATACCATTATCCTAAACTGGACATAGTACCAATTGTTCACTTACTTTCGTGTTAGAGAAACGAGCTATGATACAGAAAAAAGGAGAGATATATATCATGGGCTATAGAAATCTGGAATGTCACCGTGGTGGAACCACAGAATTTTCACTCCGTAGGCAAGTAATCTTCATTAGAATTAATAGAAATCACTATATCTTGAAATAACTTGATTTAAAGTCGAACGCGGTCATTATTTTCGCATCCTGTGATTCCGTAGTCACAAGGTCGCGAAAGTGTCAAATATTGTCCTTTTTTTTATTTAGGAACACAGAAAAACTATGTTATTAGTTAGAACTGGCCGAGGGACAGGCGAAACGAACGACTCGTAGTGTGGTGGTGAACGCGTTAGCCCCCGGAAAGGACAATAGGACGTTCGCTCCCCACCGCAGACACCTGTGGTCCGGACTTTTGCAAATATCTCGGCATCGTTATTTCACATAATACGCTGCTGTGAAAATTGTAGTGAGTAGATAATTAAAAGTTAACTTTGTTGTTGGTTTCGACCAAAGACTTTTTAGAATAGATATAGGTTAAAAATTGACAAGCAAAGCATTTTTGCCATGTAGTTTGCTTTTTACTTGGCTGTATAAGGTGTGAAGTCGTGAAGAATTGCACTTACTTTAAGGGCTTTTTCGACAACTTTTCAAATCCGCATTTTTTTCTTGTTTCTACCAAGACGTAGTAAAAAGAGACATCTTGCTGGCGACTAAATAGCTTGAGCTCTAATGACTTAATAAGCTGAAGCGGATTCCCATGTAACACTCAAGTCTGAACTACTTTTCGTATGATTATGGCTACGTATTTAAAATATCAACTGGCCTATCTTCATATGTGATTTCGTGCGGACCTCTGAGTTTTTAAATTTCGCTTCGATGTCATAATAACTGTTATCCAAGGAGGTGATCCGGGTCTTTTGTTGGTTTTGCTGTGGATTCTGAATCCGCCGTCTCCTCTTCACATTCATACATATTGAATGTTGACTGGGTATGGTTTCCTTGGGACCTCGAGATAGCCGTGCTAGAGCGTTTCCAATTGTTCACAAAAGGCAGTAGTGAGCATGTTAGTCGGTGGAGGAGTTTGCTGTTAAGCTGCTAGGATTATTTCAGGGCGGCGACGACTGTGACAATGATTTCATCGGCCAACCAGTCGACGAGAATATAAGAGGCAGATTCTATGTAGATTTAGTAATTGGTCCTTCGGGAACCTACAGATGACATAGTCTTTGGAGTTCCTGAGTAAGCTTGAATACTGGAACTGTCCTTTACAACAACATAAGACAGCAGTGCGAACAGAATAAGAGCTATTGAGATAAGCCGTTTGAACTAAATAAAATACTGAGGTCTCATAAACTTACAAACGTTTATATCACGTCCTTCTATGAGAATGTTTTGTGCCGTACTTACTGTACCGTAGAAGAACATACTGTGGTCATCTGCGGTGAGTTGACTAAAATTGGAAATTTTAAGCTTTAAGGTTATGACAGGAATCACTGTACTCATGTTAGACCTCGTATTCTGTCACAGTTTTCTGTATTATAGAAAAGGCATTAGGTTATTGGAGCACATGTTTAAGTTCCCTTCGTTCTTCCCCAGAATACCATCTGATACAGTATATTGAATCGCTAATGTTGAACAACTAGACCACTGTTGTGGAGGACTCTCTACTGAAATTTCTCAGGAATAGTAGTTGCGAGCAAATACGAGAATATCACAAATTCCTCGTTTTTTTCCATATCATATTCACATCTTGTTGGGTGAGCTATTAAAGTTCTTAATTGGTTAAAACAACCTGATTAGTTTTCTATGCGCATCCTTTTATGTAACATTGTCGTTTACTATTGCGACTTCGGCACCTTTCACACTTAAGGGTAAGGTTGGGAGAGGTTTTTATTCTGTGAGCGCCAATGATGCGCAAGTGGGCCTGTCATTGGTGGCGTCGATAAATTGGGGCTTCTAGTATTTTGACGCCAAATTTATTTAATTGTATATTTTTTTGAGTATTTTGACTGTTGCGTCTTCTAAACACCTTTTAATGACGTAGGTCCGATTTGTTTAGATCGTATTCACGAAATCTTTAAAATATTCAGCAAGAGTTCTTCGTGATTACATTGATTTTATAAAGCAGCTAAATACTTCGGTCAATACCTTTTTAGTAAAACTTTAGATGGGATCAATAGTTCTGGTGCTGCTAGTTTCGAAGTTGGCTTTGGTGCTTTGTCAAAACACCTCGATCGACTGTGCATTCCGATACAATCTCTGTGGCTGGCAGAGTGAACCACCGTGGTTGCTCACAGATCGTACATTTTTGCCAAGTCCGCTTAATCTTAGCCCAATAACGCTTATAGGAGGTTGGTTTGTTTGAATTTTAACGTAAAATACTTATATGAAGTGCTGAGATATTTGCAAAACTCCGGACCACAGGTGTATGCAGTGGGGAACGACACCTACACCTGTGGTCCGGAGTTTTGCAAATATCTCAGCACTTCATACGAGTTATATTTCACAACATACCCTGCCATTAAGAAGAAAAAGGCAGTAAATAAAGGAGTTAAGATTGTAAAATACTTACTTGCTTGATACTTGAACGGCCTGTCCTCTCAGGTTGTGCAGACCCCTGCATAATCACCATTTTTCGGAGATTAGCTAGTTATGGCATTGTGGTTGCCTGAAACCACGAGGTCAGTCTAGCCAAAGTCCGCTCCAGGCCGGCATCATCACAGGCAGACACCTCCCTTGTGGATCAGCGAGAGATTTGCCACCATGCGGCTTTGATACCAGGACGGTGGTGAATCCCGGTATTAGTTTACTCTTAGCTAGGCTTCCTGATGGAAACGCCGGACTTCTTCTCATTGGGAGACCTTGCCGAGGGACGAATCCTTCCGCAGTACATCGTAGTCCTACATGCAGGAACACCTCCCAGCCAAGATGAGGCGGTAAACCGTTGAGACGAACGTAAAAAAATATATTTTAATTTTACAGTGCTATCGTATCTTTGCTTTTCTTTGGTTCACAAGATACTTTGCTTTACAGATAATGCATTCATGACTGCGCAAGGACACTTTGGATCGAATTCGACAGCCGATCTTACTAGTCCAGAGATGCCACCATCGCCAATACTTAACATTTTATCGTTCAAGTACACTAAAACTATTGGCGATGCCAATTTACAGGTATTCTGAAAAGTTGTGACCAATAAATAATACTTTCTACTTCTGTTCAGCAAACACGAGGTGCTATTTAATTTCTTTATTTACGTACAAGCTGATGTTTCGGCGGATTTCGCCTTCCTCAGAGCCTACTTGATCTTTCCAGGCTCTGAGGAAGGCAAACGTTGGCTTGTACGTAAATAAAGAAATAAACACCTCGTGTTTGCTGAACAGAAGTAGAAAGAATTATTCAATCAATGCCGAGGTTAATAGAAAGTCGGACTTGGGAGTTACTACAATAAATAATAGTTTTCTGGGAGTTCGTAAGTTGAACTTGTTGGGAGAGGCCTTTCTATTCTCTCTCTAGACTTCTTTCTTGAGCCCAATTAGGACTTCTTTTCACTTTTTCGCACTAAACTACCATGTAAAGAAATGGATTCATGGCGCGTTCTCGATGGGGCGTTCCGTTATGTGGCTTCAGTATAAGATGTGCCGCTGAAAATGAACTTCAGTGGCTATGTTCGGGAAGTGGTAACTATGAACAACGAAGTACGTAAGAGCTTCTGAGTGGTTTATGTTGTTAAAAGGTGACGTAATTACAGATTATGATGAAGGATGGCTCAACGTATCGTAATCTGGATACGATAACGTCCAATTCGCTAGTGTTTTGGATTCGACGATCGCTTGTCGTCCCGCCAACTCTCCAGCCATATCAAGTGGTTTCTTCGATATTTCACTCATGCCGCTCCATAAGTAGACTGATAAAATTGATTGTCTTTTATGAAGTGAGACATCGCATTGGCGAAGTCCTACTTTTTCTGATGACATCCAATTAAAACGGCAGGGTAGTACAAGTAAGTAATGAAATATTCGTCATCCTCAGCCATTAAGATCGTCTTCCGTGCGAGTCGGTTGCGTACAGGTTTCGATGTCATCTCAATTGACGACGTTATGCTTCGAACTGCTTCCAAACAGGTCATGTCGCTAGACGACGATCTATATTTGTGAGCTGTATACAGTTTTCTACAGAGATCCATCATTAATTGACCACACTTTTCCTTGTCTTAGACCTTTGTTGCCATCGTTGGAGGCGCACGAAATGCGCAGATCACCATCACCGTACAGAATCGGAACTATGACCAGTACGTTCCAAATATTACTAAAAATGGACTTGTTCGATAGTGACCAAATCACTTTCGATTTTGAACATTTTAAGGTAATGCACACATTACGATGCAGTGCTCCTTGGTCAAATGTTCCTTTAAAGCAAACCCATGCTTTTGGTATGTTCTTAAAATCTAGCAGCACCTTTGCTGGTCAGATATTGACGAATAGATCATTATATACACTGTGAATCCTATATACACTATCTGTTTATTGCTGTAATGGGCATTTTAGTGCCATTGCTGTATTTCTGCTAATTAGAGTTGGGTAACAAAGTGGTAGGGCGCGTGTGGTGCAGTGGTCGGAGGCGCCGTGCAGCACATATGTGGAATCGATCCCCGCTTCCATGGCCTACCAAGCCTTCCATCTTTCCGGGGTTGGCAAATTGGTGCCAGACTTGTCTGTGAGGATATTAGCGTTGGTTCAACACATCGGTAGGCCACCGCGAGTCTTGTAAAGGCCAGGTGCTCAATGAGGCCGAATGCATGGCGCATCGCTAAGGGATTGATCAACGCCGAGAGCTTTATCCTTTTTTAACGAAGTGGTATTGATGCTGTTAATTAGAAAAATGGCGCTGATTCGACCTCATCACAGGCCTACAAAATTTCCGGAGTTGAGAATTAGGCACTAGACTCCTCTGAAATCAGCTGGCTTCCTCCAATCCTCAAACGATAGTGTCTGTCTTTGATGGGGATCTAGGAATGTCTTAGCACGGCAATCCAAGGGTTCAATGTAGAAGCGATACGACCATTATTCAAAGGCTTTTATAAACAAGATGAAAAATCCTCAAGCAACAGGCGAGCCCACGGGCAATTCTGATGAATTTCGTGCATGGCGGATACGAGGAACGAATCGAAGGAAACAAGTACTGGAGACCGCACAATATGTGATGATGGGTCGTGCGAAATAATGATTTTTTTTGCTAGTTTATAACAGTCTAAGTTCGATCTATTGAAATTGTAATGAAGATGCCTTATAGGACGTTCGAGAATTGGAAACTGTTGAATGGAAAAATCGTTACCGAAAGTCAGCCAAAAGCTTGGCTCAGCTCCGAGCCGGTCCTATTACCAATGAATGCGCACTTCCAGGTGGATCTCTTCTCTAGGTAAACACTTTTATTTGATTTGTAATTTTTTCTATACAATACCAAAGAAAAAGTGCAGAGTAAAAGGCAAAGAAACTTCTTTTGACTAGTGAAATTCTTAAAGGAAAGTTTAAACTGCGTAGGCGATTTTTAATGACATCTATTGGCAGAAACCACAGTTACGGAAAACGGCAAATTTCTCCTTGGTTTTTTTTTAATTTCTCTTTTTTTAAACTCGAATAACTTCGACTTTTAGTGGTTCGGCGATAATATCTATACATCAAAAGTTCGGTAGCGAAGAGTTATTGATGTGGACGCAAAGTGGTCTGACACTAGTCGGATGGAATCGCGTACGCTTGCCAATAAGGTTGAGAATTCAATTTTTTATTGGACAATTTTTTGCCAGATAAAAATATAACAACAAAAATTCTTCTTATGTAGAGAATCGTCTATTGATTATTCGTGAAAGTGTTAAAGTGGTGTTCTGCTATAAGAGAATGGGTTAAACGTAGGGTAAAAGCAACAGTGTTACTTGCACTGAGCCTACGCGCTCTCAGAAGAAAACCGTCTTATATATATTGTGGTGGAGTGGCCTAAGAGTAGCATTTGCCTTCTTCTCGGACACGAAAAGCTACCACTACCTACCGCGGTTTGCAAGACATTAATGAAAGGCTTAATATTGAAAAATTTTGGCTGTTCGTACTCTCAGCGAACACAGTAGTTCTGCCGTGCAATAGGAACACTTTAATGGTACTAATCGGATCACTTGATGAAAAATAGATCTGTATAACACCGGCGGCTTGTGAACTGAGCCTTTAGTTTTTGTCTCATGCAGGATGGTTTATCTTCAGCGCATGCCATTCATCATGGAAATAAATCCGGCGTCGAAAGCAGCGCATCCAGGAGTGAGCAACTCGTACTAAAGCCCCCTACCGCATACCTGATAAACATTAGTCGTAAGTGGCTGAAAAACAAAATTTGGGTAGTGGTGACTGCCTATGTTCTAAAAAGATCTGAGGTTGCGCTAGTTTTCATCTATCCCACGACTCCTATATGATCATTATCAATGGTCGAAACTCAACTTTCCGATGTTAAGTTCTATTTTTCGACTCGACATTTGGTGTCTAATGTAGGTGATTTGATTTGTGTGGCACAGCTCTTAGAAGTGGTTTGCAATACATTCACGTTCACTGATGCGGCGCCGTGCCCAGGGCTAACCTATTCCTCTATCCAACTGAGGTAGGCAAATTGATACCAGACTTATCCTGGAGGGTCAAAATGCCACATGTATGCATCGACTGGCTCTGTATGTCGTTGTATTGGCAGAATATGCATTTATCCTGCGAATGGTGTGGAATGCATGGTGCGTTCCAACGGACAGAAAGACGCCAAACGATTCACATTATTTAGTTCGCATAATTTAGGTTAATTTTTAAAACATTGCTCTTTATTCATGCTGTCATCTCTTCTTCTTATTGCAAGTTCTTTCACGGGATTTACTCTTTCAATCCTTTTTCGTCTACTATAAGATTTTACGCTTCTAATAAACGTTTCTCAATTGCCAGAATTTTTTGCGTTTTTAGTCCGTTTATTCATACTTTACTTACTTGGACACTTTGACGGCCCGTCCTCACTGGCTGTGCGGGCCCCTGGGTAATCTCAACTTTTTGGAGTTTTGCTGGTTAAGCCATTGATGTTTCCTGGAGTCCATAGGTCAAACTGGCCAAAGTCTGCTCCAGGTCGTCATCACAACTGGCAGTTGCAGCCCTTGTGGATCAGAGGGTGATTTGCCACCACCATGACACTAGTTTGGTGCCAGGACGGTGGTCGATCCTGAAATTAATTTGCTTTTAGCTGGGCTTCCTGGTGGAAAAACCGGACTCCTTCTTCGCCTAGGAGACTGCCGGAAGGGTGAATGCCCCTGCTGCACATCGCAGCCCGAAAACCCGGAACACCTACTAGCCACGATGAGGCGGTAAATCGTTGGGTGGTCTTCATATTTTGTGCTTTCAGAATGCTTTTTGTTGACCCACATCAATGAAGTCACATTGCATATTGAGTTAAATGTTTCTTTTCATTGAGATTCACACCGCTGCCATCACGGCTTTTTATAAAAACTTCAACGCGGTACGGACAACTTGTGGCCGTCACCAACACCAACATCGTTGACGAAAGCGGTAGAGATCTAGCATGCGGTAGGGTTGTTTTCCATCTGGTGAAATCTATTATACATCATTGAAAGCGAAAATTGATATTTATTCTACAAAAGACGTAAAAATCGAAGACAAAGGTCTTTCAGCTAGCATTACGTTCCAATCATCTTGTGGTGAATTATCACTGATGGCATATTTGCACACTTCATTGGTTGTTATGTCAATTGTTCCACAGGATAAATTTTTAACGTATTAATGACAATGTTTATTTTTTATTTTCTGCCTTCTGTAATTTTTATGGCAGGGTATTAAGCGAAATACAATCACGAGATTGCTGAGATATTTGCAACACTCCGGACCGCAGGTGTCTACGGTGGGGAACGAACGCGCTATTGTCTCTCCCAGAGTAACGGGTTCACCACCACCCCATGCGGTCCTTCGTTTCGCCTGTCTCTCAGTTAGTTCTATCGATCAGTGTCGTCAGCAATCACCCGCTAACGGGATTGATCTGGGAAGCTCAATTTTGAATTGAATTCAACTACAGCCTCAGCTTAACTGGGTTCAATGCCGAAGTGGGCTCAAATACCTCAGTAATCTTGTGGTTATATTAATGACAGTTTGGGCCTTAAATGGCTGACCAATATATTTATACAATATTTATCTGTGTACTGGAATATGTGGTTTTTTTTAAAAAGGACGTTTGCCATAGCACTTCCTTCACTGGTTTTGTTGCCTTACAATCATCATTCATGAAGTTGAGTTCGCTTATGGGTTCAGTAGTGTCCTACGTATAAAGGCCTAGTTCCATGGAAAAATATCCCTTCTGACTCGTAGGGAAATACGATTGCTTGTGTTGAATATGTGGGAACACTCTAGGACAAATATTCCACGGATAGAAGATTAAAGCTATCGGTGTCGATGAAATTTTGAGAGACTCGCTATGCATTCGACTTCAATAAGCATTGTAAGGATGGTTGAATTATTATTTATTAGGTTGCTCAGGAATAAATTAGCGTTTTGAAAGATTTATTTTTTAATGTATTTTTACCAATAAAATATTCTTTGTACCTTGCAATACTATAACAATTTTTCTTACCAATTTTGAGCCTTGCAATTTCAGATGTCAAAAACTAGTTTTCGTCAAATTTTCTTTTATGAGTTCAAGCTGGGTCATAGTGCAGCACAGACTGCTCGAAACGGGTGAAGGTAGCGTTGGTGAGTCAACAGAGCGAACTTGTTTCTGGAAATTCCGACGTGATGATTTCGACCTCGAAGATAAGGAAGGCCGCGGACGTGCCAGTGAACCTGAGGACGACAATTCGAAGGCGCCAGTGGAAGCAAACATGCAAACAACTGTTCGAGAGCTTGCAGAACAGCTTGGCGTTAGCACAGGAACTATTTCCATTCAATTGAATCGCATAGGAATGAAGGAAAAGCTAGACAGGACAAAGACAAAACAAAACAATTAAGCGATAACGAAAAAATCGCCGTTTTGAAGTGTCGCCTGCTCTCATTCCGCGCAACAGAAACAGCACTTTTCTTGATCGGATTGTGATGTGCGACGAAAAGTTGATTCTGT